TGTGGTGAGGCACTAGAACAGGTTGCCCAGAGCAGCTGTGGCTGCCCCCTCCCTGGAAGGGTTCAAGGCCAGGTTGGACGGGGCTGGGAGCCCCCTGGGCTGGGACGGGGCAGGGGGGTTGGAACTGGATGATCTTGAAGGTCCCTTCCAACCTGAACCATTCTATTATTCAGTGATTATTATTCAAAGAATTAAATGCAGCAACTATCAATATTCTAGCCCATAAGCTACCCCAGGAACTAGACAGTAATCATAAGACAGGACATTGTTTTGAATATGGATGGAGACATGCTCTGCTGCTATAGAAACCTTGACCAGCATGGGAAAATGTAGTTATTTCAATCTGAGAGCACATTAACTGTGATAGATATGATACTGCTGATGTACTAGTACCACCTGTCTGCCTGTCAAAATGATTGCCTGATCTACATTTCCAACTGAGAACACGCAGTACAGAAACAAAGAATGTAAGAGAGACATGATGTCACACACCCACCCCCCACCCCTCCCTCCCCGAAATCTAACTAGGCTAGAATTAACCAGAACAAAGTGATTTCAGCAATCATTCATTTTTCTCGAAGCCTTGCTGACAGGATGACAGGCGTTTTATTTCATGGGATAGACAGTGTATAATCCAAAAAAGAGCTTTTAAACTTTAAAATCTCAAGGGAAAAAAATGCCTCATCTCAGGCCAGGACAAGAGCTAAACCAAAATCTCAAAATTTGAGATTCTTGTCAAAAAGAATTGCACCCGTGTCTTCCTAGAAGTGAAACAGACAATACAACTGGGAATAGCTGAGGCAGGAACATCGACTAGGTTCTTTGGAAATACAGGAATTGTTGACCCTGGATTAGGTATCAAAGGCGTGTCCACCCTAGGACCAAAACCCTGGATTTTACAATTTGGAATTTAATCTTTTCCTATAAAGGACATAAGCATTCTTATAGTTTTATTCATGGAATCATAGAATTGTCTTATTCATAGAATCACAGAATCCTAGAATGTTTTGGGTTGGAAGGGACCTTGAAAGGTCATCTAGTTCAACCCCCCCCTGCCATGATCAGGGCCATCTTCAACTAGATCAGGTTGTTCAGAGCCCCGTCCAACCTGACCATGAATGTTTCCAGGAATGGGGCATCCACTACCCTTCTGGGCAACCTTGATACAGCCATAGTGATAACACTGTTTGTGTTGGTCATGAGGCCTGGGTAGATGCTACATACACATTGTCATATCTCTCAGAGGTTCCCTGCAGTTCTGTTTCTGGTACTCTTCACAAGTGCAGAAGTCATTACTCACCTCTGCTATCGGGGCTTTCAAATTCAGGCTTTCCTTTCCCATTTTACCAGATTAATATGTTCTTCCTAAACCATATTTGGAATCCTTGGGATCAGATTTTTTTCTCCTTTCATCAAACTCATTTCAAGGGATATGATAATCCAAGTGCCTTTTATCTAAGCAGATCATCTGACTTGGTAATTCTGTTCTTTTTCTTTTTGGTTCAGTCGTGACGTTTCCTTTTCTAAAACAATCTAAATGTATATTTTGTACACTGTCTGCCATTTCTGTGAACCAGTTTCAGTTTATGCCAGCTGCATCATATGAATAGAATGGGTTTTGATTTTCATGTTACTAGAGCATCATTGGCAAGATACCAGCTTCTGTCACTCTTCCAGTATTTCACACACCTTTCCCTAAAATACAATTTGCGCAGATATTGTATCAAATCCCTTGAAATACTGTCACCCCACTGGTGAGGTGAAAATGATACACTGCAGTCCATGTATGTCAGTACCTGCACTGAGTGTCTACTGCAATGGACTCACTCAATATCGCAGGTTTCTGTTAGTGTTTTTGTCTTTCTTGGGTGGCTACAGTTGGCTTTGATTATGTCAGGAGTTTCTCCTCCTGTTTCAATCACAGCTAATCAAACAATCTATTCCAGCAGCTTCTTTTCCTCTTCCATTACAGCCAAATGTGTTCTCTCACTGTTTCTGGCCTTACTGGGTTTGCTAATCCTCCAGCACATGCACTCCTGACACTGGATTTGTAGATTGAAGGTCTATTGGGATGCTGCAGAATGAAGCCCTGCTTTCAGACACTTCAGGGAATGCTTACTGAATATATTCAGCACACAAAGTGCCCTTTCACGACTCTATCACCATCAGGATTTTATCAAGTTGAATGCTCTTAAGGCTCTCATTGCCAGTACTTGTTTTGCTTGCATGAGTGTAGTGTTATACAAACCTTTTCCTTTTACCGGTATTTAATATCACATTTCCCTGATGTATGAAGAGTATGTCCTGCCCAGCCAGCAAGTCTCATTGAATCATGCCATGTCACAGACAAGGAAAGGGCTATATTTCTCTTTTTTTTTGTTGTCGTTTTCTGGGGTCATTTTAATTATTAGTGGTATTTCCTCATGATCTGTTTGGATAGCCACATACACCCACTGTTGTCCCATTCTTGTTTGTATTACAGCAGAACAGAAGTCAAAATTTTGTATAAGGTTTTTGTTTACAGGTGTCTCCAGTTGCCTGCCCCGAACCTCTACACCCTGTGCTTTCTTCTTGGCACATGACATGAGCAAAGCGGGTTGCCCCATGGCACTCCATACAAATATTTTTCAACGCTCTGCATCTCTCTTGCCTAGTGTAAAGCAGTCTACATCTGCTGCAAGCACACCACATCTGCCCTTGACTATACCCTTCTCCTTCAGTTCTGTGTTCCTCTGCCACTTTTGGGGTGGGAGAGGGGAACCTACCTGCACACTGAATATCCTTCTGTCTCATCACATGCACACCATGACCAGTCCTAGTAGGTGTCTTTGGTCTCTATGCTCCATTTATGCTAAATATAACTATCTGGCCTAACTAGCTCACAAGAGACAAAACAATGAAGCACTTTATGCCCACATCTTGGCCCTCTTCATTTTACCAATGCAGATATAACCTGAATGTTTTATGTGGTCTGGTTATTCGAATTAATATTTTCTAATGTTAAATTTTCTGATATATTTTAGTCTATTTTTCTAAATAATTCCTCTCCGTGAGGCTCCCTCTGTAGTCAGCAGACAACAGGTAACTTTGCAGGACAAGAATCCTTTGACCTAGTCGTGTCTGAGGGGATGCTTCTCTCCACTGACTCTAAAGGAAACTCAGCTGCAGTCAAGTCTGATGTCAGGTGAAACAGAACCCAGCCCAGATGCCTGAGTCTACAAAAAGAAAAAATAAATATTTAAACCAAAATCATCTTAGTGCTCTGGGTGGCTAATGGAGGAAGGACCAGGTCCTCATCTGCAAACACACACTCTCCAGTGATTTGTATTTCTAGTTGTACACACCACTGCTGAATCACTCACGGCTGCAGCTTCTGCTGCTGGGCAGCACGTACCTACGGTTTGTGCAAACTCCAGAAACGTGACAAAATGCTCAGCTTCCCTCAGCCTACTAGACTGTCTGTATGTTTGTCTGTCCTTCCACAGGGAAGGTGTTTACAGCAGTTGCTTTCAGTAATTCAAACCCAAAATATCTTCAGTGTCCTTGTTTTTAACTCAGCTGGCCCACAGATACATCCCAGTACTTTGGATTTCTCATCAAAAGCTTGAAGGTCAATCTTACCTTGAGCGATGGAGGGGAATTCTCTCTTCCCCAAGGAAAAGCTGAGAGAATTATGCATTTTGCCTTCTTGTCTTATTTCTTTCTCACTTCTGATTCTCATAGCAGAAGCTGTCTTTTATCTCTGCCTGTTCTGGGCTTATTAGTGCTTTCAGTTCTGTGAATCCTTTGTTAGTCGGAAGGGCAAGGTTTATAATAATAAGATTTTAAATCACACTGCTGTGAGCAGCTGAGCTTAGCACCCAGGGAAAGAGACAAAAACCTGTGCAATCACTTCGTGTACTTCCCGTAATGGATGTTGCATCAGTTGTTGAATGGCATAACTACAAAGGGAGTTCAGGCTAAATTCACATCCTTATTACAGAACCTTCCAGTAAAAAGCTCAATGTGATGAACAGTTGTAGGGTCATTCCTAGTGAATATAGTCAGGATTTTTCCGTAACATAGTTTCTTTAGAACCTATGATTTAAGAAGAGGTTTTTTCATGTAATTCAAATTTTGATAACTATAGAAAGCCTTATTTCATATAATGTATTTACAGATCATAACATTTATATATTTTATACATACATGTAACTGATTGACATTCTAAATATAAATGGAAGAATGTTTCAACATATGAGGAACATAGGAGAAACCTCTCCCACATGTATTTATACAAAATAAAACAAGGAATAATTAAGGGAGTGGGAGGTCCATACAGCAATGCCCCAAGCCATCCCATGGTGTTGCTTTTCCATATTAATTCCACTGGTAGCCCAATTTCTGCAAAAAATAGATGAAACTTTTCACTATTTTAAACAGATAAAGGAAACATACTCCTCATTTTGGTCCCTCATTTCTTGATCATATCACATCACTTCTTTTTCTTCCCTTCATACTTCTTTTTCTGGATGAATCAGAATAAATAAAACTGTTTTCTTACTTGGGAGTTACCGTAGCCTTAAGCTTGGCAAGCAGAAGTAGAATACCTCATTCATGTGCACCAAAATTAGGAAGTGAGTAAAGAAACAGAAAAGTGATTCTATTTTGGACACGAATAAAAGCCATATATGTTCATAGAGAAGATAGAATGTGTGCTGCATGGACATCTTAATTTGCTGTCATAAAGCATGCCTTTTTCCTTTACAATATGTCACAGCTACGTGCCAATAGCACCAGGTGCCTCTGAGCTACAATCCCTGATCTGAGGCAAAGGGCTTTAGGAGTGTCACAATTTCACACTTACTGCCAGCCAGAATATATACTCAAATATCTCTTGCCTCTCTGAATAATTAAAATGTCATTCTTGATGAGGAATCCTCAGGCTTAGTTTTTCCTTCTGATTTTGGTCTTTCAGCCTAGAATCACTTCCAAATATTTATATTTGCTTATTCTATGACATGAATGTAAGCATCTCTTTCAACTGTGAAATGTTCTTTCTGACTTTATTTCTAAAGAGCTCATATTATACTCTTTTCTCCACCCTTTACTAATTCTTGAAAAATAAAACTCAAATCAGCTACTGTCCACTTACTTACCAGCAGATGGTGGATACAATCAATAGGACCGCATCAACATGCAAAATTTGATAGATCATTGTTCATATATTTCACAGCTATAATTATATCAAATCAGAATTTTATTTGCAGAGCTATCCTTCATGTTTTATTTTTTTTATATACCATAACATATTTTTAGATCTTGAAGAAGTCAAGGGGATGTGAGGATACATTTCAAAACAACCTTGCTCTTGCAGGCTTTACTATATTAGAGATCTTACATCCTGTCCCACAAGCCTCCTTTATGAGACCACTGTCACTGAAGCAGAGAACTATTTATTTGAATAATGTTCAAGGAACTGAAACATTTAAAATGTGATAATGTTCAATACCAAATTTAAGTAATTTCACAGACATTCCACAGTCTGTTAGGTCAGGCAAAATCCTTCTGCCAAGGACAGTAAAAGATCGGCTTCTGAAGAACCTTAGCATGAAGAACATCCACCTGCACCCTGAGAACAAACTAAGAGTAGTAAAGCAAAGATCTTACAAGGTTTGCAAAACCAAAAAATACATCAGCTCTGACCATTCCTCCCAAGTTGTACATGAACAAAGGGCAAAGCCCTAATTGCATATTACAGCAACCTGAAGAAAATCACGGGTGATTGCAGCCACTACTGCCATCATTGTTACTGGGGACCAAGAGGACATGAACAGCTACCAACCTCCTAAGTAAATCCTCCCTTGATTTAGTACCTCTCACAACATGCCAGTTATATGCACTAGGAATTATTTTGTTAAAATTTCTTCTCTGCCTGCTCCTTGCATCTAATTGCATAACTGATACACAACTGTGACATTGGCTTGTGTTTAACCAGCAGCATTACACGTTCATTTCTTTACTTTCAGCTACTTCAGAAAGTTTCACTTAGTGCTTCTATGCATTCCATGTGCAAATATGCACATCATTAACAGATGGGATTTCATCATTTGAAGATGTCTTATCTAACAATGTTCTGAGACATTTTTTGTAGGGGTCATAACTTGTATTACATGTTTTGGAAACCTTGCCATCAGAATGACATCAATTATCAAAACAGAAAATGAGATGCACACCATGTCTATCAAAATTTTGTACGTATTAAATTTATTCCTAATACATTGATTTGATTAGTACATTAGTAGAAGTAATATATTAATATGGTATCATATACTACATTATGACATGTTATGTATAATACATAATATTATGTAATCTCAGTTTGCATTCTAGACACACACGGGTTTCAAAACACTTTAAAATATTATGCATTATCTATTTTTGCACAATTTTCTGATATTTTAAATGAAAGTGTGTGTCAAAAAATAACCAAGGTCCTTCAATTCCTTGACTTTAGGGAGTCAAGATGTATAGAAAGAAACTATGAAGCTTAAACATTTTACATTATAAATTACTACTATTCCTTCTGCATTAAAGATTATGGACAAGCTAGATAGCATTAGATTACTTATTGTCTGAATTTATTCTGTGATGTGTCAAATCATCATCATCTGAAGTGGTCAGGCAGTTGGACTAGATGATCCTTGTAGATCCTTTCCAACAGAAATATTATATTCTATTCTATTATTCTATTCTATTCTATCCTAATCTCCTCTTTTTTTTTTTTTTTTTTTTTTGGCACAGGAATTAAGTGTTTCTGTTATTTTTGAATTGTGTATTTCAAAATGTACTTCCAAATAATTGCACCATATCCTATCCATCAGGTGTTCCCAAATTAAGAACCCTTAAGCCAATAGAAATGTGAAGCCAAATTCATACTTACTGTGGCCAACTTATGGTGCAATATGGTGAGACTGCTTTCGGGTGATTAACCCTTTAAAAACATATGAGATCTTTTATTATTTCTCCTCTCTTTGTTCCAGTTAGCCAAGCCTACAAACTCTGCTTTCTGTCTGCATGTTAACTTCACATGGGAAAGATTTTATCTTGCATGACTTCAGATGCTTATGGTGCAGATGTCTATGAACTAGTCACTTTGCACTCTCTTTATAGTCGATGAATTGTGCAACTTACCTAATTCTAAATAAGACATCCAAAGTACACTTAATGAATCATGTCACAAAAGTATCTGTTGAATTCATTGACTGTAAAGACAGCCAAGGCATGACTGGCTCCAATCTTCAGCTTTGTAAACGGCTGAAGTCAGGTAAAATGAATTTACCTTGTTAATATATAGTGGACGTGTTAAATTAGAAGAGGTGAAACCCAGGCAAGATATCAGAGATCTTCCGTGTATTTATTATATAGTGCCATGTATATACTATATAGTACCATAGACCTGCCAGGTCTCACACACTCTGCCCAAGATTCTTTCAGCTTGCTCCCGGCTGAAACTCCACCACGGCAGCATCTGTACCCTGAGCAGTGCCCAGACACTGCTGTAGCTTCTTTCCAGGGCTGGCTGCCAAATAATGCAGCGATTCAGTATTCTGCTGCCTGCAAAAGCCACCGTGCTGGCCACAGCCAGGGAGCTCCACCCTGCACCGTCGCATGCTCACAGGGGCCCTGTTCGGCAACACTTCCACTCTGCCAGCCTGACACCAGCTTCCACTCTCCTGTTTGTGACCAGGGGGCTTATAGCCCCATAGTACATGAATTCTGAGCCACAAACACAGGGTTGAATCATTTTTAAATGCCAGCCAAGGTTTGGCTAAATACGTACGTATATAAAGCATTTGATTGCTATTTTGCAGTAAACTGTAAAATCTATTCCTTAAATAGGTGCTGATTGTCTAAAGGGGGTGTATTTGCTCTTCACTGGAGTTTTTGATGTTAGATACAGTATAAAAAATATGCTCTGCTGTGGATAGAAAGTTTACCATAACATATTATGGGGTTCATCATCATGCTACCTACAGAGGTGTCAGTCCTGTTGTTGCCATATCTGACATTGGCAAAGTATTTCCCCTCAGTAATATCCATCCTGGAAAGCAGCAGACTGTAGTGATTTTTAGATCCATGTGGATTGCTAGATTTGCCATAGCAGTAATCCCATTCTGGGATGAGGACATTTTTGGAAATTATTACAGGGAAAATTGTTACATTGAATTCTGATTGAATAGAAGAAATTGGAAGCAATGGGGTTTTCCTTGATATATTTCTTGATAAGTTTAATCTTTACTATGTTATAATTATTGATTAATATTATTTTACTAGAGAAACTGACAGTCAGTCTACAGAACCTTCAAAGACAGATGTACTTTTGACTATACTATTAATGTTCATGTTGTAATACTTCCCAAAGGCCCACAAAAGGACCAGAGCCTCATGTGCAAATTATTATGGAATTGAAAAATTGTAAAATCATGGAATGGTTTGGGTTGGAAGGGACCATCAAAGGTCATCTAGTCCAACCCACCCTGCAATGACCAGGGACATCTTCAACCAGGACAGGTTGCTCAGAGCCCTGTCCAACCTTGAATGTTTCCAGGGATGGGGAATCTACCACTTCTCTGGGCAACCTGTTCCAGTGTTTCATCACCCTCATCATAAAAAATTTCTTCCTTATATCTAGTCTGAATAAATCTTCTTTTAGTTTAAAACCATTACCCCTTGACCTATCGCTACAGGGTCCTACTAAAAAGTCCCTCCCCATCTTTCTTATAGGCCCCCTGTAAGTATTAAAAGGCTGCTACAAGGTCTCCCCGGAGCCTTCTCTTCTTCAGGCTGAACAATCTCAACTCTTTCAGCCTGGCAGAGGTGTTCCAGCCCTTGCACCATTTTTGTGGCCCCCCTCTGGACCCACTCCAACAGGTCCATGTCTTTCCTGTGCTGAGGACTCCAGAGATGAACACAGTACTGCAAATGAGGTCTCATGAGAGTGGAGTAGAAGGGCAAAATCACCTCACTTGAACTGCTGGCCATGCTTCTTTTGATGCAGCCCAGGATTTTTTATTTATTTATTTTTTTTTCTGTCTGTGTCTCCTGAAGAATTTAGCATCCACTTGTAACAAATGCAAGTGTATGTCATGGTTTAACTCCAGCCAGCAATTAAGCACCACACAGCCGCTCACTCACTGTCACCCCCTCAGTGGGATGGGGGAGAGAACAGATTAAAAAAAAAAAACAACTTGTGGATTGAGATAAAGACAGTTTAATAGGACAAAAAAGGAAGGGAAAATAATAATAATAACAACAACAACAACAATGGCAAGAGAATATACAAAACAAATGATGCGCAATACATGCACAGTTGCTTGCCACTCACTCACCAATGACCAGGCAACCTCTGAGCTGCGTGCAATGCCCCATCCAACTCCCCCCAGTTTATATTCTGGGCATGATGTCATGTGATATGGAACACCCCTTTGGCTCGTTTGGGTCAGCTGTCCTGGCTGTGTCCCCTCCCAGCTTCTTGTGCACTCCCAGCTTACACTGGCACAGCAGCATGAGAAGCTGAAAAGTCTTTCACTTACTATAAACAGCGCTCAGCAACAACTAAAACATCTGTATGTTATCAACATTTTTCTCATCCTAAATCCAGAATACAGCACTATAGCAGCTACTAGGAAGAAAATTATTTTTATTCCTGCTGAAACCAGAACAGTGTAACAAAGAAGGGAAGCCATAGGAGGAAACAGTAATTTGAATAACAATGAGGTAATGCAATTACTTAGCTACACTGTGTACAATTCAATGGTTTGAAACATTTCATTTTTATAAATCCGTAAAAACATAAACCTTCAACTCAGCATAGTTTGCATTGCAGAAAACAGTGATAATATGAATAATCATAGAATCATAGAATCATTTAGGTCAGAAAAGACCTTTAAGTTCACCAAGTCCAAATATTATATACCCAACCATGTCCCCAAGCACCACATCTACACATCCTTTAAACACCTCCAGGGATAGTGACTCAACCACTTCCCTGGGCAGCCTGTTCCAATGCCTGACAAGCCTTTCGGTGAAGAAATTTTTCCTAATATCCAATCTAAACCTCCCCTGGCGCAACTTGAGGCCATTTCCTCTTGTCCTGTCACTTGTTACTTGGCAGAAGAGACTGACACCCACCTCGCTACAACCTCCTTTCGGGTAGTTGTAGGGAGCGATAAGGTCTCCCCTCAGCCTCCTTTTCTTCAGGTTAAACAACCCCAGTTCCCTCAACTGCTCCTCACAGGACTTGTGCTCCAGACCCTTCACCAGCTTCACTGCCCTTCTTGGGACACACTCCAGCACCTCAATGTCTTTCTTGCAGTGAGGGGCCCAAAACTGAACACAGGGTTCAAGGTGCAGCCTCACCAGTGCCAAGTACAGGGGGACGATCCCTTCCTTAGCCCTGCTGGCCACACTAGTTCTGACACAAGCCAGGATGCTGGTGGCCTTCTTGGCCACCCGGGCACACTGACAGCTCATTCTCAGCCGGCTGCCCACCAACACCCCCAGGTCCTTTCCCACCAGGCAGCTTTCCAGCCACTCTGCCCCAAGCCCGGAGCATTGCGTGGGGTTGTTGTGACCCAAGTGCAGGACCCAGCGCTGAGCCTTGTTGAACCTCATACAATTGGCCTCAGCCCACTGATCCAGCCTGTCCAGATCCCTCTGTAGAGCCTTCCTTCCCTCAAGTGGATCAACACTCCCACCCAACTTGGTGTCACCTACCAACTTAGTGAGGGTGCACTCAATCCCGTCATCCAGATCATTGATAATGTTATTAAACAGAACTGACCGAAATACCAAGCCCTGGAGAACACCACTTGTGACCAGCCTCCAACTGGATTTAACTCCATTCACTGCAACTCTTCGGGCCCAGCCTTCCCACTGTTTTTTACCCATCTTAGACTACGCCTGTCCAAGCCGTGAGCAGCCATTTTCTCCAGAATACTGTGGGAAATGGTGTCAAAGGCTTTACTAAAGTCTAGTTAGACAACATCCATGGCCTTTCCCTTATTCACTAACTGGGTCACCCTGTCACAGAAGGAGATCAGGTTAGTCAGGCAGTATTTGCCTTCCATAAACAGATCACCCACAAGTCCTTCTCTGTTCACGAACAACAGGTCCAACGGGGTGACTTCCCTGGTCGGCTCCCTCACCAGCTGTGTCAGAAAGTTATCTTCCACACACTCCAGGAGCCTCCTAGACTGTTTCCTCTCTGCTGTACTGTGTTTCCAGCAGACATCTGGCAAGTTGAAGTCCCCCATGAGAACAAGGGCTAGTGATTGTGAGATTTATTCCGTCTGCTTGTAGAATATTTTGTCTGCCTCTTTATCCTGGTTGGGTGGTCTATATGGGATGAAACTTTAAAAGTGTAGCTTTATGTGCATTATACTGACAGGGAGTAATGACTAAATATATATGTATATAAAATAAACTGGAAAAGAACAGAATAAAATCCAGAAACTTCAGCCTGAAGCAAGTATGAGATGGTCATACTCAGCCTCAGAGCATTCACTCACAGTGAAGGCTGAGTGAAGTATTCAGACTTCTCCCTGACCTGTATTTGCAGAGCCATGAGGGTTATTTTGCGACTACATATACATTTAACAGTTATTACTTATTTTATCTCTTGATATCAAAAAGATTAAAAAGCTACATATCAAAAAATAAAACTAGTTTTTTAGAATTATACTGAGTAGAAAGTAAAAAAGGCAATACACCTGTCAAATCAGATTAAAGTAGTGATTTCCCATCAATAAAATTATTGTTATGCTTTCTGGCTCTTATAGTTTGTTTCAATCCATATTTCTGAGCAAGAGCCTGTTTTCAGGTTGTGGTGGGTTGACCCTGGCTGGACAGCAGGTGCCCACCAAAGCCGCTCTATCCCTGCCCTCCTCAGCTGGACAGGGGAGAGAAAATATAACAAAAGTCTTGTGGATCGAGATAAGGACAGGGAAATCACTCAGCAGTTATCATCACAGGCAAAACAGACTTAATTGGGGGAAATTAATTTAATTTATTGCCAATTAGTAGTCAGAGTAGGGTAATGAGAAATAAAAACCAAATCTTAAAACACCTTCCCCCAATGTCTCCTTCTTCCTAGGCTTAACTTTACTCCTGATTTTCTCTACCTCCTCCCCTCCAGCAGCGCAGAGGGACAGGGAATGGGGGTTACAGTCAGTTTATCACATTGTCTCTGTTGCTCCTTCCTCCTCAGGGGCAGGACTCTTCACACTCCTCCCCTGCTCCAGAGTGGGGTCCCTCCCATGGGAGACAGTTCTCCATGAACTTCTCCGAGACTCCTTCCCACAGGCTGCAGTTCTTCATGAACTGCTCCAGTGTGGGTCCCTCCCACGGGGTGCAGCCCTTCAGGAACGGGCTGCTCCAGCGTGGGTCCATTTCACAGGGTCACAAGTCCTGCCAGCAAACCTGCTCCAGTGTGGGCTCCTCTTTCCACGGGGCCACTGGTCCTGCCAGCAAACCTGCTCCAGCGTGGGCTTCCCACAGGGTCACAGCCTCCTTCAGGCACCCACCTGCTCTGGCGTGGGGTCTGCAGGTGGAGATCTGCTCCCCCGTGGACCCCCATGGGCTGCAGGGGCACAGCCTGCCTCACCACGGTCTTCACCAGGGGCTGCAGGGGAATCTCTGCTCGGGTGCCTGGAGCATCTCCTCTCCTCCTTCTTCACTGACCTTGGTGCCTGCAGAGCTGTTCCTCTCACATATTCTCACTCCTCTCTCCCGCTGCTGTTGTTTCACACAGGTTTTTTTTCCCCTTCTTAAATATGTTATCCCAGAGGTGCTACCACTGTCGCTGATGGGCTCGGCTTTGGTCAGTGCTGGGTCCCTCTTGGAGCCGGCGGGCACTGCCTCTGTCAGACACGGGAGAAGCTTCTAGCAGCTTCTCACAGATGCCACCCCTGTAGCCCCGCCCCCAACAAAACCTTGCCACGCAAACCCAATACAGAGGTGCTGGGATCTGGACATAAATGGCTCTTTGAAATGCTCTTGGCTGCTTCTCGGAGTACTCCAGGCCATGGAGTTGCCATCTGATGAACTGTTAAAAGCCTTGCTGTGCAACACAGCGCAGTGTGATTAAAATCCAACTTGCACAGCTCGCTCAGCACATGTTCCTCCATCAGTAATTTGGAACGGATATTTATACAGAACTGAGGAATCCAGTCTGAAATTAACATATGCCTCAGATTGGTTTGTCACTTTGCTGGGGAATATGTCGTTCTTTCCGTACTATGTGAGAGTCCTGCAGGTGGTTTCTGCTTCAGATTTACTGCAGCATTTCTAGTCAGGAGACCAGATCTCCGTGGAATCACAAGCCCACCCATGCTGTGCATTAACTGTGTTTCTATAGTAACTTCTTACAACTTACTCACATCTCGCTGTGTAACAGATGGGAACACGTGATATGTTAGCAGGCTGTGTGACACTCAACAATACTGAGGAGCTGTTTCTAACATAAAATTGCTACGGATACATTAATGTAAAAATTATAATAAAATAATGGACAGGAATGAAACAGAGAAATGATCGGGAGAAAGGGAAGAGATGAAAGACCATTTCAATGCCATTTGTTTCAAATCCTTTTTCTCCACAGGTATGAAACTGCTAGCCTCTATCATCGTCATGTATTCATAGGTCAGTATATTTTGTTCTGTTCAAAAAACTGCCCTTCAGACATCAGAGGTAAGGAGTCGTGTGTGCAGGGATGTTGCTGTTGCCAATCAGTATTTTTTTCAACCGTATTCACTGATGCCATCTGCTGGATTCCTGTCTTTGTCATTGAAATTCTCTCCTTATTCCAGGTAACACTGTGTGTATGTGGTTTCTTTTGTTAAAGATTCAATGTAAGCTAAACCAATTCTGCCAGATGAATTCTAGTTAACCATTGGTGAAGAGTAAGTATTGACAAAAATATTTGACTTTTTCTACATTCAGAAATTGAGCTCTGAAGTACATACATACAATCTTCAATCCACGTACGTAGGTGAGAACCAGAACAGGCTATCCAGTGAAGAGGTTCTCCTCTGCTACAGGTGCAAAATCCCACTGTAATATGTATGAGTAAATCCATCAGTTTGATCATCAGGAAAACAAAACCATAACAGGAGGCTCTTTAAACAACACAGACACCACATTTATAAGTGCAGGCAGGGGGTCCCAAGGAGGCTACAAGCAGGGCAGCACACATCTCCCCTGCCAGCCCGCGGAGGAGCTGTACAGTGTCACAGTTCTCTGTCACCACGCCGGTTATAGGCAGCCCTGCTCACCTTGCAGCTGCTAACAGATAACACAGCAATGAAGGCAGCCTGCTTTCCCATTGTAATTCTAGAAAACTGATACCTCATGTTTGTAGAAAACTGGGTAAGTAATTCTCTGTAATGCAAAAGGCATTGCAGAAATACAGTAAGTTGTCAATGGTTTTATCATAATACCTATTTAGCCTCATTGGGAGCACTGAATTGCATTTGCATAATCAGGAGAAAAGTGATTACATGTAGGCTGTGGCAAACAAAGCACAGCGATCATGAGGGTGTTCAGATGTACAGCTGTGGCTGGCGCGGGGTTCGCACTGGTGAGGATATATACACAGCCCAGCTCCCGGACCCCTGAGCAGGTTACTTCACCCTTCTGTACTCCAGGTTCCCCTCTGTAAAATAATAATGACAATAGCTTTTGTAAGGCATTTTGAAACTTACTGATGAAAACTGCCGTGTGAAAAATAGGTATGGGATTTGGATTTATATTAAACAGTATCCTAAAGAGAGATGGACTTCAACTCATGTTTAGTGCTTTTATTAAATTCCATTAGGTAGAGAGAAAGACACTCTCTGGTGAAAAATCCTTTTTTTTCCCCCTTTTCATGAAAACCCATGGTGAACAAAATGAAAACCACAATAAGCAACGTTGAATTCAAATCCCTTTCTTGTAAAAATAGCACTGTGGTCACGTTCCACAAAAAATAACATAAAGTGACATTACATAAAGTAAAATAAAGGACATAAAGTAAAAATTACATAAAGACACGTTTGCTTCTTTAGCATTCCTACAACAGAGCATACGAAGTATCGTACTTTTTTTCCTAGATACCCTTCCTGGGCAGTGATATTTGTTCTGCCAATACACATTGACTTGAACCTCATTCTCTATACTCTCGCAACTAGTTTCTTTAAGGAGAAGTTGAAGCAGTCACTGGACAGTCATTGAAGAAGGGCAATGTTCTGAAATGATGAAAAAAATTTGGCCACTTCAGTCATGCAGACAGACGATCCCCTCACCCATAGCTCTTCATTCACGCTTGGATTTTTAAACAATAACTACTCAGGACAGTGCTAACTTCTACTTACCAATCTACAAGTGGTCGATTCTCAGCAGGATAACAGAAACAGAACCTAACTGCCTTACAGATGCATTAATCTCTTTCAGATTCATATGCAGACTCTTTTTGGCCATTACCACCTCTGTATGCATCTGCCTGGAAAATAAAATCACAACTGTTGCATTCATCAGGGGAGATTTGTACTGCAGATTGAAACACGGGCAGACTCTGCACTGGGGCTAAAAACAGCAGCAATTTTCTACTATTCATCACCCTTCCCTGTAGAGCTGGTGTATCTGTACTTGTTAGGTATAGTCTTCATGCAACATACATAGATTAAGGGAAAGGACCTTTGTCTCGTTTGGTGTGTACTACCAATTTCAGGATATATCCTTGTGGAGGGCTGTTTCTCCCAGGGTTGGAAGTCCTTGGTGGGAGAAGGCCAGAACGTTCTATGCAATGTGTAAATCTATATTAAACTTGTAAGGTTTAAGTAATATGTGAGCTCTGTAGGGTGGTGAATGTCTCTTTGTGCACATAAAGTTGTTACACAGAACTGCAAGACCCGAGCAGTGTTATTACAGTATTTTTAAGGTACTAAAAGTCAAGTGAAACTTCCTGTGTAAGCAACAGAGCCCAGACTGAAATAAAAATTAAATATCGAAGCTCTCAGAATGACCCTTGAAAGTAGTCAATTCAGTTTTCATTGCATCAGGTTTTATGAAGCATAGGCATCCAGGCAGCATGGGTAAACACATGCTTGGGGGAGTATTTATGGGACTGAGGTACTTGCAGGAAAGAACAAGTCCCTGTTATTAGTTATGTTTTCATAACCACCTTAGCTATATTTTGCCTTTATTGCATATGAGCTGCCTACCTGTTATAAATACAAGAATCAAGCTCCTAGAGAAAGAGTAAAGCAAAACTTTCACTTTTTTTTTTTTTTTTTTTAATATTTAATAAAGAAGGTTCCGGAAAATATTTTAGAAGCTCCAGTTCATAAATCATTCTGAAGTGTCATCAAACAAAAGGAGTTTGAAGCAATGAGGAAGACGCAGAAAGGGAGGAAAAAAACCCAAGTGTATGGGCATTTCAATGAAAATAAGGAGGAGCCTGAAGAGTTAACATTTCTCAGTTGAGGTGATGAGGCTGAGTATGTGCTTCAGGCCCACCCGGACTGTGAAATACAACGGATATATTTGAACCACCCCGAAGGCAGGAAGTCAAGTCCAATAATAAGGTCTTTGTACTGTGGCAATGAGCCCAACTGTGAGGTTTTGACCCAAGTATTCAACACAGTGCACACTTCATCATGGGGTTCAGTCTGAAGAAATCTGAATTTCCATTTAGCTATCAGAAGATGGTCCCAGTTAGTGACCCTGTCAACCTGCTTTCCAGTACCGAGCAACCCACTGGGTGCCTTAATTTGATGTCCTGCTTGGCCTGAATGGTCCCTGGGGCCTCCTGGGTTCAGCACGTGCCTGGTGATGGCAGAGCAGGAGCACAGGAGCTATAGAAACTTGCTGGTTCGTATTGATTGGTGGTTTCTCTGCTCATAGTTGCGGAGGTGAAGTAGGTTCTGGCTGTTGTAGGTGCTATAGGAAGTTCCCTTCCTCAGACACGGCAGGACTTGGGATACACCCGGGCTATTACGCTGGATGGGGATGCCAGGGAAGGAGCGAAGCAGCCCCACTGTTGTTACTGCAGAAAGGGTGGTCACAGGCTGGAGCAGAAGTCAGAGGGCAGCACCGCAGCTGAGGCTGCCCTGCCACCCCAAATAAGTGTTGTCTCTGCAAGCAGAGGTGCTGCCAACTACCCATCGTCCAGCCTCCACGCCTCTGCTCTGGAGAGGCAATTTCCTCTCCTGACGTACCAGCTGAGGCACCTCTGTAGAAACCCTATGCACTGCAATAGCTAAATAGTGGTGATGGGAAGGAAAATTGGTCTTGAATACACCTCTCTGGACACTTCCCTAGGATAATGGAGACACAGTTTGTCAAGGTTTATTCTTCCTGACAAAACCTTCACTTAAAATGGTTCTTTCTCTTGAACTACGGGATAAAGTAGAACTTGATCTTTATCCAACCTTGACTGTCCAGCTAAATTTGATTTTAAAAGACAGAAGGATACTAGTCCATATTCATTGGTAAGATGTTCCAACAGATTTTTATTTAAAATATGTCATTTATTAAAATAAACAAATTAATTAAAATTTGTCTTTTCTGGGTTTCCACTTGCAGTAATTGAATTTCCTATGAAAATGAAAGAAGCAAAAAGCCTTGCTTTTTCTGACTAAAATGTCTCAGACATCTAAGTCTCATTGTCAGCCCTTAAAAGCTATTGGCTTTTTGCAACACTGCTACTCTTTTTTCTCTAAGTTGTAAACCTTGATGGCCCTGTCCTCCTCTGATAAGATGTAAAAAACGAAAGGCAAATTGTTAAAAAGAAAAAAAGGAGGAATTAATTACAGAATCAGAGATTACAGAATCACAGAGGCACAGAAAAGTTGAGGTTGGAAGGCATCTCTGGAGATCTAGGCCAACATCTGAGCTCGAGCTGGATCAGCTACAGCAGGTCTTACAGGATCATGTCCACCTTGGTTTTGAATATCTCCTATGCATGCAGGCTCCACAACATCTCTGGGTTGCCTCTTCCATTTTTTGATCACTGTACAGGAAAGATTTTTCTTTTCTTACATTTAAACAGAATTTCCTGTGTTTAAATTTGTGCCCATGGTCTTCTGCCCTGTCACTGGGCACCACAGGGAAGACTGGCTCTGTCTTCTTTACTCCCCCCCAACAGCTATTTACACACGGTGGTAAGAACCTCCCTGAGCCTTCTCTTCTCCAGGTGGAACAGTCCCAGCTCTCTCAGCCTCTCCTGGTATGTCAGATGCTCCAGTCCCTGAGTGATCTTCATGGACATATTCCTTGGTCACAGTTTGGTACGTACATGTCTCCCTTCTGCTGGGGAACCCAGACGTAGACCCAGCACTCCAGATGTGTCTCACCAGGGCTGAGCAGAGAGGAACGATCACCTCCCCTGACCTGCTGGAAATACTCTTCCTAACACAGCCCAGGAGACCTTGGCCTTTTTTACTACAAAGGCACATTGCTGGCTCATGATCCGCTTGCTCTCCACCAGGACCCCCAAGTCCTTCAGAGCTGCTTTCCAGCTGGTGGGTCCCCGGCATGTGCTGGTGCACGGGGTGATTCCTCCCCAGGGGCAGGGCTTGGCTTTTCCCTTTGTTGAACCTTGTGAAATCCCTGGCAGAGCATCTCTCCAGCCTGTTGAGATCCATCTGAATGGCAGCACAGCTACCTGGAGCACCAGCCCCTGTTCCTCTGCAAACTCTGTCCCATTGTCCAGGTCATTAATGAGGATGTTAAAGGGTGTTGGCCCCGGTATCAACCCTTGGAGTACTTCACTAGTCACTGGCCTCCAGCTGGACTGTGTGTCTCTCAGCCTGGCATCTGTTTTCAATCCACCTTACTGTCCATTTATCTAGTTCATATTTCATCAGTCTGCCTAGGGGACATTATGGGAGACAGTGTCAAAAGACTCACTAGAGTTGAGATAAACAGGATCCACTGCTCTCCCTTCATCCACCAAGGCAGTCATCTCATTGTAGAAGGCTATCGAGTCGGTCAAGGATGATTTCCCTTTCATACAAACATGCTGACTACTCCCCAGTCATCTATTTGTCCTTCATATATGTTTGGAAATGGTTTCCAGGATTATTTGCTCCATCACCTTCCCAAGGATCAGGGTGAAGCTGACTGACCTGTGGTTCCTTAGTGCTCTGGGTTTATGTGTGTAGTGGGATTTTTGGTAGAGGGGGAGGGGGCTACAGCGGTGACCCCCTGTGAGAAGCTTCTTGAAGCTCCTCCAGCTCCAAGTCAGACCCACCTCTGCACCAAGGAGGAGCCAATTAGCGGTGGTGGCTGTGCCTCTGCGATAACATATTTAAGAAGGAGCAGCTGGAAGGAGGATTTGGAGTTGTGAGGACACCTGTGAACACTGAGGTCAGTGGAAGGAAGGAGAAGGAAGGGGGGGAGGTGTGCTGGAGCAGAGACCCCTGTATCCCGTGGGGAGACAGCAGGGCCGCCCCCCCTGCCACCCGTGGAGGTACTCGGTGGAGCAGAGACCCACCTGCAGCCTGCAAAGGAGCCCATGCTGGAGCAGGTGATGAAAAAGAAGGCCGGGACTCTCTGGGAAGCAGTCCCCACTGGGAGGACTGCAACATGCAGGAGTGACCCCCACCGGATCAGCATAGGAGTGGCTGCACCCCACGGGAAGGACTCACGTCGGAGAAAGTTTGTGGAGGGCTGCCTCCTGTGAGAGGGGAGCCATGCTGGAGCAGGGAAAGAATGCACGGAGGAAGAAGTAGCAGCACTGACTGCACCCCCCATCCCCTGCCCCCTGCACTGCTGAGGGGGAGGAGGTAGAGAAATCTGGAGCAGAGCTGAGTCTGGGAAGAAGGGCGGCGTGGAGGGAAGGTGTTTTCAAGATGTGGCAACGCTTCCCACTGTCCTACTCTGTCTGTTAAGTGTTGCTGTTTGTGTCTGAATTAAATTTATATTCTTTTCCTCCCCTAATGAGCCTGTCTTTTGCCTGTGACTGTAATGGGTGAGTCATCCCTCCCTGTCCTCATCTCGATCCCCACGATTTTTACTTTATTTTCTCCTTTCCATTCCTGAGGGGGAAGGAGGGAGTGAGTGGCTTCGTAGTGCTCAGTTGCTCTCTGAGCTCAAACCATCACACCTGGATCCTCTTTCTTGACCTTCCTGAATATAGGAGTGATATTTTCTTTCTTCCATTCCTCAGGAACGTCCCCCTCATATGACCTTACACAGTTTCTTAGCATATAAAATATTGAAGGGGGTTAAAAAGATTTGTGGGATTTTTTTTTCCCCTCTTATGATTGTAATTCTTTATAAGCATTTCCATGGCTATTTGCCCGATTTTTAATTTTGGGAAAAAAAAAAAAAAAAAAGATCAGAACAAACAGCTGTGC